CGCTTTAAATACATTTTCTTCATTTCACTTCCTGATAAATCACCTATAGTAAATTAATGTGAGATACATTGTATATAAGTAGGTTGCTCAATAATACTGAAAGGGGACAGGATATCCGGACATGATTAGATCATTTAATGATTCCAATTGACAATGGCACGTGAGCACATGACAACAAACACGTGGCGAAAAGATGTTGATAGACGAATAGCCTCGGTCAAAACAGCAGTTCAGGTGACCAAGCCATAGGCCGACCTACCTAATAAACTTGAACCGAGTCGAGTATCTGGTGAAGTTGTTCGATTAGCTAAGATGTTGAGCAATGGGCCGAGCCGAATAAGGAGAATGAAAACCATTAGGTAGACAAATCAGAAAGGAAGCCTAAGGTGGCTCCAATACAAATGGCGAAGGATCCGGCTAAAGTCAAGGTGTGCTTAGCAAAACCTAGTATAGAACATTATAAAATACCAAGAAAAACTTAAGTCTAAAATATGCACTCCCTTCCCTGAAATTCTTTTGCTTATTCTAAAAAATCCTAACTAATGTAAGCATTAGAGTGCCTCCAACCGGTCCACTTCGGTTTGCTCGTTTTATAGGTAGAGAAGGTGTTGTTCATTTGTGTTTCTCAATGAAACCCTGCTCTTAGGTTCCATACCAATCTTGGTCAAGGGTACGAGGTTTTATCACATAAAATTGGCGTTGTATGTGAGAACGCAAACAAAAACAATCATTTAAAATCTGTGAAGCACTCTTGGATCACCACGCAACAACCAAGGGTTCAATGAATATGACCCGTGCACAATTACCAAGTCTCCCTACCGTCAGATAGCGATATCAAGGAAGATGCAACCAGAAGCTCAAATGAGGATCATAAAGATCCCAATAATGAAGCAATCCCTAGGACGATGTCTGACAAGAAAATAAACAACCAGAAGGTTTCCCATGTATCGATAGGGAGGTCTCTACCTTTATGAAACAATCAGAACTGATTAGATGCTCTTGACGTTATGCTGAAAAGATCCCAAGAGGAAGAGGGGGAACTCAATTAGGAAAATGAGGCATTAAGATAGGCCTTGTGGAGATCAAAGGATCTCGAGGTCTCCAAGGAGTCCGATCGCCAGATAACCAGAGTCAAGGGTGAACCCTCCGATGACGATCCTAATCCTAACCTCAACAGACATGGTGGAAACGAAGAGATGACACCCATGACATGAGCAACAGGAGAAAATCTACTCGAGTAGAGGATCAAGAGGATACCTGGAGATTCTTTATTACCAAAGAACTTGATTGCAGATTGACAAGACTAGAGCATAAATGAGCAAGAGAATTGGCTAGAAGGGAAACTAGTGAGTACTTTGGGGGAATGGAGTCTCCACCTTCGCTAGAAGGATAGAAAGGGAAAGGATCCTGAACAAGTTCATAGTCCAGAAATTCAAACTATACGATCGGAAGACCGATCCTACTGTACATATTCATCACTACACATAAATTGATGGCAATACATAGGAAGAACAAAGTACTCCTGTGCACACTATTCCCCAACAGTTTGGGCAAATCAGTTATCAAATGGTATGATGACCTTCCTAAGAATTCTATTGATAGTTGGGTTCAGTAGGCCGATCAGTTCATGGCTGAGTTTATTACTAGCAATCGGCATCCAAAAGACATCATAGCATTGCTCTCCATGAAGAATAAGCATGGTGAGACGTTGCACGAATACACTCATCATTACTGGGAAACAATGAATGAGATAAAGAATTACAACCAACAGATAGTGATGGCATCATTCAAAATCGAACTTCTAAAAGACAATCAATTGTATCAGTCCTTGACTAGACGCCTCATTATTGACATGCAAAAATTGATGGTTAGAGTTGAGAATTACGCCAAGGTCGACAATGAGATCAATAGGGAAATCGATAGAAACTAGCCAACTAAAAAGAAGAATGGGAGAGAAAGACTTGGCCAACCCTGTCCAAGAGGCAATGGAAAGGAAAAGGAAGGATTCCCACCTCGCTTGTCATTCTCTAGAGTAAATATCGTGTTCAGGGAGCCCTTTTATAGGATCTTGTCCTATATCAAGGGGAAGCCCTATTTCAAGTGGCGTAACAAGCTAGGCAGAGATCCAAAAAAAGGAACCCTAATCTAAGGTGCTCTTATCAACGTAACACCAGGCACATGATAGAAAATTGTTGCTCCCTCAAGTAGCATTTGGAAGAGCTCCTCCGAGATAGTCATCTTTCTTAGGTTATTGATGAGGAAAAGACCAAGATAGAGGACGGTGGTAAAAGAGAGGCAAATCAGGGTCAACCCCATGACCCCGTCAAGGTAATTGATGTGATCCTCGCTGGTTGAATTCCTAGTAGGTATATCATCTGCCATCTTCAAAAATATATATGTTGCGTTCTGTGTTTTTTTTTTGTGGGAATTTTGGAACAAATTTGGCGTTTGGCATATCGATTTGGGGTGGGTAATTGCAAGTTGGGGCAAAAAATTGGGGACACTGATTTTGCCGAACTAGTATGTGAACGTACCCCGTTTGGGGTCGTCCGAACCAGATCGTGGTTTGCCTGTTGTAGTACTGATCCTAGTAACCCCGGTTTGGGCTACTGTTGGTTTAGGGCTAGTGCTGGTTTGGCTATTTTTCTTCTACTATGCTTGGATTTTGACTCTTGGGTTTTTGGGCTTGTTAATTGTTGGTATTGGAGACTATTGTTTTACCGAGGACTTGGGCTTTGGTTTATTTAGCATTGTTGTTGGTTGTCTTGCTCGACTCTTTTGCTCTTTTGGGTCATTATTTGCTATTTGGGTGTTGATCTGTTGGGCTTGTTGATTTGTGTTGGATTTGGTTTGTGCTTGCTGATTTTGTATTGAATTTGGACTACCAACAAGTATTTTTCATAAATTTGTGTTGGGCTTGTTGTTTTGTGCTGGATTTGATAGGACTGTGATTTGAATAATTGTAGTTATTTTAATGGCCTCTAATATAATATTTTTCAATTTTTTAGAAGTGTGTTTGAACTATTTCATGTGTAATTGAAGGATTGAGGCGAGTGAAGGCTATTTGGTACATTTGTTTGCTCTTCGGTTATGTAAGGGGTGGTGTAGAGGGTTTATAGCCTTGATTATTATGTTTGCCTAATATTTTATGAAATTGTGTTTATAGTCTTGACTTTTATTTACCTAATATTTTATTTGATATGCATTTTAATTAATTTATTTTTTACTACTATGGGCAAATTAATAATATGTAATGAGTAATAGCTTTTTAAGGTAAGATGATAAAATATGTAAATTGTGTATATGTTTACATTTTTTGCGTTTTGTTTTTGGAGATAATTTTGTACATTTTTTATATATTAATTGGCTTTAGATATTTATTGTTATCATTATGTGCACCGTTTTTTTCTCTTGGTAATTCTCATTTTTTTTAATTGATTTTTTTTCGTCGTACATTGCCTTCAACCACAGACAATAACTAATAAATAAACTCGATAATTAGCCAAAAACAAATCGGGTCAACTGCACTCAAACTTGGATCCGACATTTGCATCTCTGGGATGGGGTGCGCTTCTACTTGCCCCCATGAGCCGATGCCACGAACTCGAACGATATAGGGTTTAAGTGGTCTAGAAAAGATGAGAGAGAATTGAAAAACCAACATTTATGCTAAAACCCTAAAAAGTGGGGGTTAAAGAAAATGGGGTTTCAGTTAGTTTCTTCTTGTCTTCACAATCACACTCCAACCATCAGATTATCCAAAGAAAATTCCTTCTCTCATCACACTGTAAGTTGCACGGGGTCCTTCCTGCAATAAATTGAGATAACGATCCTCACAGTGAACTACCTGAAACAGCCAAGAAAGGGTCAAGAAAGGGGCCGGGTGAACACTCGGCTTGTCCCCTCTGAAGCGTAAGTCAGTAAAAGTTTGGAGGCTTGAGCACAGTGTATCAATTTTTCTTAGTATAAATTGCGTACCTTAGTCCATATTTTTGAGGTGTATTTATACCTGAATTAGCAATGAGTGCATGGACAGGGAGCCCCATCTTGACATTTAATGGCCTGCACTCCCTCCCATGCGTGATAAGTGTTTTCTACTCAGATTCTCTTGTCATCAGTGCTAGGGACCATGCCGAGGACCTAAGGCTATCCTCAAGAACTCGAGTGTCTCTGATCAGCGTCTGACACCTACTCCCATGCGCTCGGTGCTCGTGGCACAGTACCTTGGGTTCTGTGCTCGGCACCATAGTCATCAATGTTTGCACTCATGACCATCAGTTTGGGTCTTTGAGGACACAGGGGCTCATTAATAGCCCCGTCTCAGTCATTTACATCGCCATAAATGCGTAGTCAAGTCATCTTAAATGTTGGTGTCAGCACACGTACCCGGCTCCTCAGAGTCATTACTCCTCGGCTCCTCTCCTCAGCGCCTCTTGAGCTCCATAACGACTACATCATTACACGCGTCAGTTTGAGGGTTGCTGAGCCGCCTAAAGTCCCGTCATAAGTAATTCTCATTTCGATACGTCCTTCTCTTTCTTTAATTGAATACATGTATATATTATTTGTCTCTAATTTTCTATTCAGTTTTGTTTTTTTTAGGTTTCTCCTTTGTATTCGATAAGGAATAAGATATTTGGAAGTGAGGTTGGATTGAGAAAACAAACACTTTAGTTTCAGAATGAATTCAAATGTATACTTTTGTTTCTTAGCCTCTGCTATCTTTGGTTTCTGGGTAAATTTTTTTCGAAAAATTGATTAGAAATTGAATTTATGGATGGTAGACTACAAAAATCTCCACTTAGCTGAGTGAAAAATAGATTCTCTTGCTTAGTTAAGGGCTTATCCTTGTTTTTTAAGGAAATATTTGGACATGAAACAGAATGTTAATATCATTCGTTTTTGTATGTTTATGTTCAAAGTGGAGTTTTTTTATAATAGTATATTTTGAAATTTCTTGGTCTAACGAGAACGTTTGTTCAGCAAAATTGCTGACTGATATGAGGAGGAAATGCAAGTTCTCTTTACTACCGAGCTTGAAGAGAGGAGTAATTGTATGCGCTTCTGATTCTAATCCTGCGGAATCCAATTCTTATACACAGGAAAACACTAGTTTGCGGATTAATGGGGGTAATGGGGTGGAACCATTTCGTGAAAAATTGGGTTCCATTTCATTTGCTGGGGTGACTCATCAGTTGGTTGAAGAAAGTAAATTAGTGTCAACTCCTTCCGCAGAAGGCACTAGCTCATTTCTCTGGGCGTGGGCTCCTGTTGCCCTAATTTCATCACTGGTCCTTCCGCAGCTCTTCATTGGTGCTGCAATTGATGGCTTCTTTAGTGATGAGATCCTCTCAAGTGTGTGGTCAATTATTTTTCATTTAGGCCTGTCTGCAAATGGCAAAATGTAGAAATCAATAATTTACTTCTTAAACTAGATATAAATGGTTGAAATAATGGTTAAATTTAACAGGTGCATCAGTGATGGTGAAAATGCTAGGGTAAGGGAAAATCAAAATTTACAAGAAATAAAATGGTGATAGTGATATGGTTGCATGAAGTTTAACTAAACACGTAGCCACTGATAGCTTGGAATAGCAAAGGATGATTCGTGTGGTGGACACCTAGTAATTGGCACACAACTTTGTTTGGTTTGATATATTCTCATGTCTCATCCTTTTGTACAAATTATGTATTTGTTTGGCAAGTATGTCAATCACTTGCAAACATAATTTTTTATTTGCATAACTTTGTGATAGTGTACTAAGATAGCCAATTCAACTTCTATCAAGTGCTAATAATTATTGAATTTTTCTTATCAACAAAAATATGATAGTTTGCTACATAAATAGGCTTCTAAGCTAAAATCCTGGTTCAGCGACTTGAGTGGAAAGTTGTTCTGATCAGATCTCATTTTGAGCTAGATTGCTGCTTATGGCATGCTAGCAAATTGATGAACATGCAGTATGAATTCTTGAAAAACTTGGAGAAATAACTTATGATCTCGATCTGTAATTTTATATTTGTAGAAGTATAGGTGCACACATTTTGTGTGCATACGTGCGTGAATGCTTACTTTTGTTTTGGAGGCTAAACATTACTTAGAAAGACTTTGGAATAATCTTGCTTGCTTGTTTTGATTTTGTTCTGTGAGCATGAGTCGGGAACAAAATTTCTTAAATCCTGCCAAATTAATGTGATTGAACAGTTGAAGTACATCATAGAAATGCTGATAAGTTAGTTCATGCCTTAGCTAGATTAAAGAGCCAAGTGTAGCTTTGAAGCCTTTGACAATATGCAAAACTATAATCTTTTTACTTTTACTAAAAAGCCACTTAGGTGATTGACATTATTGAATTTCAGAGCTAGATAAAAATAATTTTTGGTCTACTAGATTAATTGTGTAAAAAGAAATTAACATAAGGGATAGTGCTGCTAATTACAGTCGTAGGTCATGTGTTATACACATATGTAGAGAGAAGTACATATCAATTGGTTAAATGTTGCGATGCTATCACATTATCATTTTTGTCATATCTATGTATTACATGGTCTAGAGCAAACATTCTGGATTGACATTTGTTGATCTGTTACTTGAAGCCCCCCTTAGGTCTTCACCCATCTTTATAAAGAAAATGGAGAGTTACTTATCATTGAAAGGTCATGCTCCTTGAGTTGATATATTCTTGAGATATGTGTCTTACATTGCAAGTATCAAAAACTGTGTTCGACCCCCAATTGGTTAATTAGCAAGATTGTCAATTTTGTATTATCTTGGAGAAGATAAATCAAAGATCATATTATAATACACCCATGTAATGTAGGGCCCTCACCATTGATGCAAAATATGGTCCATCAATTCTTATCTTTTTGATTGAATATTAGGTTTTTACACCCTTAGTCTAAGCTCTTTAAGGTTAAAGAGAAAATAAATTACATGATTAGAGCATTAAGAAACAGTAGCGATAAATATCTTCATTGTATTTATGAAATTATACATGCATGCCATTTTTTGCATCAGCTTCCAATAAGCAATGTTGATCATTCCTTCTATAATAACTCCAACATAGGTATAGGTTTCTGCCAGAGTTCAACTTCGAAAACTTCACAGAACTCCTTGACCAAAGATATGAGGGTGATATCAATCAAAAGGTTATCATCGCCATGGCGAATATATGTTGTTCCATGCCCATCAGATGATAAAGATTCTCCCAGTAACCCTTTTATGCTTCCAACTCGACGATCATGTATCCCACATGGGACTATCCATTGAAAGGGTGTTAGATCTGTGGTGACATTCAGTGCTAAGCCGTGATATGCTATCCACTGTGATACTCGTATCTCAACAGCTGCGAGTTTCTCATCTCCCAATGCAAGTGAATTTGTAAGGCTCCCAATGTTTTATCTCCACAAAATAGAGGATCAACATAACATACTGCTATTATAAAAGAAGCTTAAACAGGGGTGTAAATCAGGGTTCCATTGAAATTCATGATTAGTTCTCAGTTGTAATTTGCTGAACCTAAAAATAAGAGAAAACAAATATAGGATAATACCCTTCTACATCAATCTTGTATTTAACAAATTCCAAGAAACTGGTAAATAAGGAGTGAACTAGATTTTCTAGGGTTCACATAGAATAGTGTACAGAGAGCCNTCAGGGTTCCATTGAAATTCATGATTAGTTCTCAGTTGTAATTTGCTGAACCTAAAAAAAAGAGAAAAAAAATATAGGATAATACCCTTCTACATCAATCTTGTATTTAACAAATTCCAAGAAACTGGTAAATAAGGAGTGAACTAGATTTTCTAGGGTTCACATAGAATAGTGTACAGAGAGCCCTAACAACAATCCATCTTTTGCAAAGCCAGTAAACTAGTCAGGATGTTGAAGTAAACACTTTAAAGCTAATGCAAACATACTAGACTAACCAGAAGTACATCATATAAACTACTAAAAATATCAGTGAAAGGATTGCAAAACATACCAACCCAAACACCAGTTAAACCCTCTAGTCGGGAAGCCTTGATCGAAAATGTTGAGGAAATAACACAAATGACCACCTCCTCTAGCGTCCTAAGGTACCGATGAAAATCCATCTTGTGACAGCGGAGATTTATAATAGGGTACAAAACTAGCTAGATTGCAACAAAGATGCATAACATGTTANTTGGGAAGCCTTGATCGAAAATGTTGAGGAAAGAACACAAATGGCCACCTCCTCTAGCGTCCTAAGGTACCGATGAAAATCCATCTTGTGACAGCGGGGATTTATAATAGGGTACAAAACTAGCTAGATTGCAACAAAGATGCATAACATGTTAGGTACACAAAACAACCAAAAGAGGTAGACCTTTCAATGCATTGTTGCACAAATGAAACTTCAAATCTTGCACCTAGTTCAGCCATGACATTAGGTTTTGGGAAGAAGGGTGCAAGTAAAAACTTAAGACTATTAAATCACATTGCGCTCTCTATCATATTCCTAGAAGCATATTTTTAGGAAGAAATAGGCTGTCCCTGTGATTCAATACTTTTTTTCTCTGATTTTCTATGCATATCATAGTTCAATAGCATTGAATTCTTTGACACTAACAACATGGAAGTCAAGGATTTTAATCACAGAATTTCAAGCCCTACTTTTTATATAATCAGGTTTAAACGTTTTTCGATTTTAGATGACCGTAATGTGTGATGTGACAAAAATCATATGTGGAACACACCAAATAAGGATTAGCATGCCGCATTCAAATACAATTAACAACCAATTCCAAGCAAGAGATAATGGAAACAACTATTAGAAATGTGCTAGGAAAGTAGATGGCACTACCTAACCAGGCCCATGATATGTAATTTCACCACCGCGTTCGGTTCGATAAACATCAAAAGGAACATCATTTAACTCAAAATTCAAGTGTCTTCATTACTACCGAAACCCAAGGTATAGACAGGGTGGTGTTAAAGAATAATCAGCATGTCCGAATGATCTGCATTCCATTGAGCCAATGCTTTCCTCTCTTCAACAATGGACTTTTGCCAAGACCATGCCTCAACATATGGAACTAGCTCTTTGTGCAAATCAAAACACTCACACTTGTAATTGGAATGAGCCCCCTGTGAGGCAATTTACAATGTACACAAGGCATTTGTCAAAATGCGGGAAAGAAGGAAGAGAAATTTATCGTCGTTTGCCTTCAGGGGTGGTTACTGAAGTCACCTCCAATTTGTTCAAATCAAAGACTTGATTCAAATTTGAGATGAAAAACGAAAGAGCGAGTATGGAGATCTCTCTCTAAACGAGTGCGAGTTGGAATTGTTGGGATTGAACCCACATTGAGATTTGCTACCGCAATCATATTGTGTATTTCCTCTCTGTGTGCAACTAGAGACAAATAATAGTGAAGAAGCCCATTAATTGCTAGCTAGAATGTTTGAGAATTATATGTTAAACGGGTCGATTTGGCTAAAGTTAGAAAGAACTATGCAGCATGCACACCTGTGTCAGGGATGATGACGCTGTCAGAGTGGCGGAGCAACCCATGAATGAAGGGAAATCCCTAAATACCATGTGTGACTAATTCTTAATTAGACAATTCGTTAAATTACGAGGAATAACTTGTGTCTGAAGACACGGTGCAACTAAAAAAATTTGAATATTGAATTTAAACGCGAAATAATCAAACACTGAACTCAGACACGTAATAAACTGAAAGCTTAAACTCGTCTTATATCACGTGTCTGAAGGCACTGTACATAGTTCTTAAACACGAAATAATCAAACAATGAATATAAACATGCATTAAGCTAAAAATCGTTTGGTAATTTTTAATGTCATGACTTTAGTGAAATAAAAAAGGTCAAAATGTAAAAAACTTTCAAATTTTTGACAAAATATCCTTTGAAAATATGATGCCACAAATATATCAACCTAAAATCAATTACTCTCATGCAAACAATGAGAACAAAACTGGTGGCTCATAGATTATTGGGTGCCTTCTTGGCTTTTTGTCTGTCATGGAAGTAGAAGTGAAGTCTTGTTACTTTTTCTTTGTTGTGGCCGAACTTCGAGAACCATTGTTCCACTACTTTTGGCGCTTCAGCAATGCCCTGAAGTATTGTCATTGCCATGGCCCATGGCTATGGTTATGAAGGAAATTATTAACAAAAGTATAATTAGGTTCCCTATATCTCCCAGTGAGACGCTTATATGTATATAGGTGGGTAGGCCAGAATAGAGGGTGGAAAAAAAATTATTTTGTTATTGTTTATTATTATAATATAGTTAATGTTTGTAATAATTTTAAATAGTGAATTAGGAATTTTATTATACCAAAGTCATTGTTTGTAAAAAGATTTTGAACTAATAGTTTCATACTATTAAAATTTATTGTTTATATTTTTTTTTCAATATTTTTTGAGCTCACTATTTTTGTGTTTTTCAATTCAAATGAAACGTCTTAATTAAGTTATTAAAATCTAATCAATTTTATTAGTTAAGCACAATCTATTCTTCTTTCCAACTAAATCTCATAATCAATTAAATTTAGTTTTAAATTAAGACCAAGTCTTATTAGTCCCATCCCTGTTTTTGTGTTCACTATTTTTAGTTCACTAATTTTCACTTTTTTTAATCCACTGTTTTTATTGTTCTTGAGTTCATAATTTTAAGTTTACTTGTTTTTTACTATTTTTAGATCACTAATTTTTACTATTTTGAGTTCACAATTTTATGTTTAATTAACAGTAGGCATCAATTAACAGACCACATCTCACGCTTTTCTTCAACTCCTCATTCGTTTGTCTTCCAATTGTAATTTGACATCAATTTTTTCTATGAAAATCTACAAAAATTATTAGGTTTTAAGGTGATGACGATTTTCCTAACAATACTAAATTTGACGGCTCTTATGCAAATGCAATCACAAATAGGGGTAGGCTCCAACTCTGACGGAGCTAGAAGGCATGTATCCGATCTCCGACTACAGTTGGAGTGAATTTTACCCCCGACTCTGACTCTAAAGTACTATAACTTCGTTTTTGACTCCGTTTGTCGGAGGCGGAGCAGAATTTCATAATTGGGACATTTTAATTGGGTTTATATATATATATATATATATATATATATANTTCTGACTCCGTTTGTCGGAGGCGGAGCAGAATTTCATATATATATATATATATATATATATATATTGTAGTACTTGAGAGAGAGCTTCGGAGATGGCAGATCTAAAAACCAAAAAAATATGATTTTCAAATCAGAGAAAAACAACAACAGCAGAGATTTATGGTCAAGAAAAACATATTTGGGTCTAGAAAAACCAGATCTAATTGGAAGGAAAGGGGTACACCATAAACACTTACTAGATCCAAGAAAAGATTTCTAGGGTTATAATGGATCCTAATCTCTCCCTTTTGCAAAATCAACCATTTTCTTCTTCAAATCCTCAAGGGTCACCCTTCTTTCTCGATCTTCTTCTCCTGTCATTTCCTGTGTTGCCATCGAAGGAGACTGCTTATCGAGGATTGCACCTTCGACTGAGATCTAGGGTTGCTAGTCAAGTGGCATGTCGTCGATTGTGTGTGTGTGAGAGAGAGAGACGGAGGGGTTACACTGATGTGTGTTAGAGAGAGAAAGAGAGAGGGAGGGAGACAGAGGTGAGAGAGAGAAACAGAGGGGAACATGGGTTGGGGATTTAGGGTTAGGGAAGAAAATATCGGAGAAGGGAGTGATTTATATTTACTGGCTATATCCCGTGACTAAAGTCACTGTACACTTAATTATTACACTGTGCATGCATTGGAATATGTGTGTTGAAGTGTGTGTATGTATGTGCATTTTTATGTTGTAAAGTGTGTGTTGGGTTTTTTGAAATTTGGGGGGAAAAGTGTGTGGAGTGTGTGAAATTTGGGGGGGGGGGGGGGGGGAGGGTGGGAGGGAGGAAATATACCTCCCCTACGTTCAAACACCTTTCTAATTTATTATATAAATATTCAATATTTCAATAACCAAAATATACAATTGATATATTAGGAATTAAAATGAAATAAACTTCATACTTTGAGGACTTACGGTACAGTTAACCCTCATTTTTTTTAAAACTACTCATTGACCATAGATTTATAGGAAGAATTGAATTTTTAAGTCAGTTCTAAATATGCTCAATAAATCTGTCAAGATAGTGTCAAACTATTTTATAAAATTAATTGATTAATTAAACAAATTAATGTAAGAATAATACTTGCTTGAAAAACCAAAATGACACAATCAAACTTATAAGTCAGCGAATAGCCCACGACTTGATGGAAACAAGTTTAGAGCTTATTAGGGATAGCTTGAGTCCGTCACTGTGACTGACATAGCATGACCCGCAGACTTTGGGCCCAAATAGTTTGATCCGGGCTAGTCCAGTCCTTTGACAACGTAATCCATCCACTCCTGAAGTTTCTTGTGCGGATAGATCCATACTCTCCAAAATTTATAATTTTTCAAAAACTAAATTATAATTACAAAAAATATGATCGATCATAAAATATTATAATTGATTATAAAAATTACAATTTTCAAAATGTCAAAGTCGCACTTTTTAAAAATAAAATTATAACTAATTAAGAGATATTTAATCTATCACCATATTTTATGGGGTTAATCTCAACTTGCACTTCGAATGATCACTCGAATCTCAATTTACACCCTCAAAGTTAAAAAATATTAATTTGCACTCTGAAAGACGTAAATTAGTATCAATGCACACCTGGAACTAACTGTCATCCATTTTGCCATTAAAAAAATTTGAGCTAATTATAAAATTGCATACTCAAAGTTTAAATATTTCACATTTATAATCCAAAAAGAATTACATCCATTAATGCTCATTAAATAGCTCTCAATTGTATCTTGTCGTGTCTAACTTCAAACAAAAAATAGATATTTATCGTGTCGTCTCTCTCTCTAACACACATCAATGTAACCCCTCTGTCTCTCTCTTACACACACACAATCGACGACATGCCACTCGACTAGCAACCCTAGATATCAATCAAAGGAGCAATCCTCAACAAGTAGTCTCCTTCGATGGCAACACAGGAAATGACAGGAGAAGAAGATTGAGAAAAAAAAGGTGACCATTGAGGATTTGAAGAAGAAAATGGTTGATTTTGCAAAAGAGAGAAGTTAGGATCCATTATAACCCTAGAAATCTCCTCTTGGATCTGGTAAGTGTTTATGGTGTATCCCCGTCCTTCCAATTACATCTGGTTTTTCTAGACCATAAATCCCTATTGTCGTTTGTTTTCTCTGATTTTCAAATCATATTTTTTGGTTTTTAGATCTGCCATCTCCGAAGCTCTCTCTCAACAATACTGCAATAGTTATATATATATATAAACCCAATAAAAATGTTCCAATTCTGAAATTCCGCTCTGCCTCGTACAAACGAAGTCAGAAACGAAGTTACAATAGTTTAGGGTCGGAGTCGAAGGTAAAATTCACTCCAAATGTAGTCAAAGATCGGATACATGCCTTCTGGCTCCGACGGAGTTGGAGCCCACCCCTATTTGTGATTGCATTTGCATAAGTGCCGTCAAATTTAGTATTGTTAGGGAAATCGTCATCACCTTAAAACGTAATAATTTTGTAGATTTCGTGGAAAAAATTGATGTCAAATTACAATTGGAAGACAAACGAACGAAGAGTTGAAAAAATGCATGAGATGTGGTCTTTTAATTGATGGCCACTGTTAATTAAACATAAAATTGTGAACTCAAAACAGTGAAAATTAGTGATCTAAAAATAGTAAAAAACAGGTAAACTTAAAATTGTGAACTCAAAAATAGTAAGAACAGTGAATTAAAAAAGCGAAAATTAGTGAACTATAAATAGTGAACACAAAAACAGTGTTGGGACTAATAAGACTTGGTCTTAATTTAAAACTAAATTTAATTGATTAAGAGATTTAGTTGGAAAGAAGAATAGATTGTGCTTAACTAATAAAATTGATTAGATTTTAATAAAATTGATTAAATTTATCAAATGAAAATAGCACGTTATGAGCTTAATATTGCTATATTTACTTGTCATGAATATTATTTGAGAATTTCGTGTATACCTATGTCATGTGAGAAAGGATTAACACTCTAGTTGTTTTCCTATTGGACGTTGGCTCACCCTAACATTTTTGCAGGGAATAGATCAAGAGATGACGAAAATTTCTTCCCGGAGCTATCTTAAATATCTATGCTCAGTTGGCTTACGAGATATTATATGTCATGTTAACGCTCGAGCAAATTCTAGATTTGTGACTTGTGTTTGGTTGTGTTGGTGTGTTTTCAAAACCGACGAGATGTAATAGTATCGATTATGGACTACTTTTGGGATAAATGTATAATTTGGGTACTTTGACTATGACATTAAATGCTGATTTGGGTTGTTGTTGGTTTGGGCTACTGCTGGTTTGAGGTTGGTGCTAGTTTGGCTATTTTTCTTCTACTATGCTTGGATTTTGGCTCTTGGGTTTTTGGGCTTCTTATTTTCTGGTATTGGAGACTATTGTTTTACCGAGGACTTGGGCTTTGGTTTATTGGGCATTGTTGTTAGTTGTCTTGTTGTTTTGCTAGACTCTTTGTTCTTTTGGGTCATTATTTGCTATTTGGGTGTTGATCTATTGGGCTTGTTGATTTGTGTTGGATTTGGTTTAGGCGTGCTGATTTTGTATTGAATTTGGGCTGCCAACAAGTATTTTTGATATATTTGTGTTGGGCTTGTTGTGTTTGTGCTGGATTTGATAGGACTGTGTATATTAAATTTTTTGAGGTAATTTTGTACATTTTTCATATATTCATCAGCTCTAAATATTTATTGTTATCATTATGTGCACCGTTTTTTCCTCTTGCTAATTCTCATTTTTTTTAATTGATTTTTTTTTGCCCTCAGCCACAAACAATAACAAATAATAAAATCGATAATTAGCCAAAAACAAATCGGGTCAACTGCACCCAAACTTGGATTCGGAAGTTCCATGTCTAGGACAGGGTGCACTTCTCCTTGCCCCCATCAGCCGATGCCACGAACTCAAACGATTCAGGGTTTAAGCGGTCCAGAAAAGATGAGAGAGAATTGAAAAACCAACACTAATGCTAAAACCCTAAAAAAGTGGGGGTTTAAAAAAATGTGGTTTCAATTAGTTTATTCTTGTCTTCATAATCACACTCGAACCATCAGATTATCCAAATCAAATTTCTTCTCTCATCACACTGTAAGTAATTCTCATTTCGATACGTCCTTCTCTTTCTTTAATCGAATACATGTATATATTGTTTGTCTCTAATTTTCTGTTCACTTCCATTGTTTTTAGGTTTCTCCTTTGTATTCGATAAGGAATACGATATTTGGAAGCGAGGTTGGATTGAGAAAACAAACACTTCGGTTTTAGAATGAATTCAAATGTATGCTTTTGTTTCTTAGCCTCTGCTATCTTTGGTTTATGGGTAAATTTTGTCCAAAAATTGGACATGAAACAGAATGTTTATATCATTCGTTTTTGTATGTTTATGTTCAAAGTGGAGTTTTTTTATAACAATATATTTTAAAATTTCTTGGTCCAACTAGAATGTTTGCTTAGCAAAATTGGTGGCTAATATGAGGAGGAAATGCAAGTTCTCTTTACTACCAAGCTTGAAGAGAGGAGTAATTGTATATGCTTATGATTCTAATCCTACGGAATCCGATTCTTATAGACAGGAAAGCACTAGTTTGCGGATTAATGGGGTGGTACCATTTCGTGGGAAATCAGGTTCCATTTCATTTGTTGGGGTGACTCATCAGTTGGTTGAAGAAAGTAAATTAGTGTCAGCTCCTTCTGCAGAAAGCACTGGCTCGTTTCTCTGGGCGTGGGCTCCTATTTCCCTGATTTCATCACTGGTCATTCCGCAGCTCTTTGTTGGTGCTGCAATTGATGGCTTCTTCGGTGATGAGATCCTCTCAGGTGTGTGGTCCATTAGTTTTCATTTAGGCCCGTCTGCAAATGGCAAAATGTAGAAATCAATAATTTACTTTCTTCAACTAGATAGAAATGGTCGAAATAATGGTTAAATTTAATAGGTGCATCATTGATGGTGAAAATGCTAGGGGAAGGGAAAATCAAAATTTACAAGAAATGAAATGGTGATAGTAATATGGTTTCTTGAAGTTTAATTGAACACATAGCCACTGATAGCTTGGAATAGCAGAGCATGATTCATTTGGTGGACACCTAGTAATTGGGACACAACTTTGTTTGGTTTGATATATTCTCATTTCTCATCCTTTTGTGTAAATTATGTATTTGTTTGCCGAATATGTCAATCACTTGCAGACATTATTTTTTATTTGCATAACTTTGTGATAGTGTACTAAAATAGTCAATTCAACTTCTATCAAGTTCTAATAAATATAGAATTTTCCTTATCAACAAAATATGATAGTTTGCTACATAAATAGGTTTCTAAGCTACAAATCTTGGTTTAGTGACTTGAGTGGAAAGTAGTTCCAATCAGATCTCATTTTGAGCTAAATTGTTGCTTATGGCATGCTAGCAAATTGATGAACATGTAGTATATATTCTTGAAGAACTTGGAGAAATAACTTATGATCTCGATCTGTAATTTTATATTTGTAGAAGTATAGGTGCACACATTTTGTGTGCATACGTGCATGAATGCTTACTTTTGTTTTGGAGGCTAAGCATTACTTAGAAAGACTTTGGAGAAACTTTGCTTGCTTGTTTTGATTTTGTTCTGTGAGCATGAGTCGGGAACAAAATTTCTTAAATCCCACCAAATTAAAGTGATTGAATAGTTAAAGTACATCAAATAGATGTTGATAAGTTAGTTCATGCCTTAGCTAGATTAAAGAGCCAAGAATCCATTCATCATTAAAACGTCAATCAGAGATTGTAAGGACATTATCTGAACCATCAGATGTATCTTTTGCAATACCAGCAACACTAGAGGAATTGGAAGGATTTGATTTTTTCTGTCCCCCTTTATTTTTCAACTTAAAACAATCACGCTTATAATGACCAATTTTATGACAATAAAAACATTCAACATTATTCTGTTTCTTCCTAGACTGCGATCGATATTCAGCTTTTCCTTCTCCTTTATCTGAATTTCTTTCAATGGATCGACCTCTATTATTATTAGAGAAATTATCATGACGACCCTTTACAAATAAACCCTCGGCTTGAGTATCACTGCCCTTACTGTTCAATTTAGTACGTGATTCCTTAGAATTCAAAGAGGATTTCACATCAATTAAAGAGATTGAGTCTCTCCCATACAATATCGAATTAACAAAATTATCAAACGAATCCGGCAGCGAGCATAACACAATCAGGGCTTGATCTTCATTCCCAATTTTAATATCAATATTTTTCAAGTCAATAATAATTTTGTTAAATTCATCAAGATGTTCATTAATGGGCGTACCTTCTTTCATCTTGAGTGTGTACAACCGTTGCTTCAGATACAAGCGGTTGGCGAGAGACTTCTTCATATATAAACTCTCAAACTTTTTTCATAACCCTTCGACTTTGTCTTTATCGATAACCTCACGAAGAACTTCATCAGCAAGAGTCAACTGAATTGCACTGTGTGCTTTTTCTTCAATATCAACAACTTTAGTTTGATCTGTCTCTTTGGATAAAGTTCCATCAATAGCCTTTGCCAAACCTTGCTGACGAAGCAATGCCTTTATCTTGATCTGTCATAAACTGAAATTTTTCTGACCATCAATTTTTTTATCTTGAATTTTGCTATAGCCATCCTGAAATCAATAGCTCTGATACCAATTTGTTATGAACAAAACCACAAACAAAATAATAACGTAACAAAATAGAAAAATAGAACACAAAGATTTACGTGGTTCGGCTCAACAAACAAGCCTACATCCACGAACAAAAAACAACGTCAAAATTTTACTATTGAAAGGTTGGAGATTACAACGTTCTCAGAACAAATCAACGAGAAAACTAGATATCTGCTCTATTTCAATAATACAATATTTATTGAATTTAACAAAATAGAGCAATATCAATTTATCACACACAAAAAAAACTATTGTACCGTCGTCAATGGCCAACCACCAACTCACTGGAGAAGACGTCTTTTTTATCTAGCTTCTGGACTAAGGAATTTGATTCCTTGACAAAGTCTTTATGCTGAGGAGGTCTCATGTGTAGGACAAAAAACCAAAGACTCCTTGAAGGCTTTGAGTTTAAACAACAAAAATCCATGTTGGACTAAACTCCACTAAAATAATAAAATCAAGATAATCCTAATTAAGTTCAAACTTGTCTATCAAGAACTCCAATGAAAACTCATGTCTTCAATTAGAGTCTATAAAAAAAACAATTGACTTGAATACAAGTCATCACAACAGTAAGTAATCCGATTTTGATGCTTTATGTTCCCGTTTCCCATATGCCAACTTCAGCACGTTTGCGTTATAATTATTATTTTTGCAGCAATTTGAACGGCTTTTTCAGTTTGCCAGAAGAATTGAGGATTTTATGTTTACAATCACCCCGGAAGAGGTTACTGCCTGGGTGCTAGTGTCTTCTTCATGAAAAATATGAGTATATTGTCAGATAACTTATTAGAATGCCTCAAGTGTCCTTGAGCAAGGGTGCTATTGCATCACATTTGACTTTTTTGCTGTTTCCACATCATTACTGATAATAGGACTGGAACTATATAGCCAGGGCTTCTGCTCGTTTTCTTTATGGCTTGGTCTAGATTAAACTAAAATGCATTTTTAGATTAAAAATGTATGTGCATCGTCTAATCTCGTAACCTCTTGGTCTAAAATTATCATTATAAAGTTAAAGTACATGGGAAATGTGCCTCTAGTGCCTCTTATTTGAAAAATGCCAGTTCATAATTTTCATAAGCGCAAATATCTTATATATTTTAATATTATTGTTATCGGATGCCTATATATCTACTTTTTTTGACTACATTTTCTTAAGCGAGATTATGTTCTTAGGTATGACTTGGTACCTTTCAAATTCAAATGCTTTGTCAACTAAATACTTCTGAGCATGATGGAAGTAATTGACACCAATGATATTTTGAATAAGATTGAAAATTTGAAATATTTGGAAGATCTTAGTTGCAGAAGAAATATGAGTTACTCATTCTGTTTATTTTTTGTGTTATTTTTGTTGTTTGATCTAGCTTTCTACTTAATAATCCCCGTTATCCTGAATAAGAGAAAAGAACACAAGAAAAACAGGAAGAAATGACAAACTTGTGTGCAATTTTGCTAGCGGCCTGAACATTCCCAAAAACCATTTTTGATGTCATGAGTTTTGGTTTGGGTAAAAAATTTTCATTTCCCTTTTCTGTCAAATTTTCCCCCGTTATTTCTTTGTTTGTTTTTCTTTTTTTTTTGTTTTTTCCCCCTCTTTCTTTCTGGGAGAATTAGTTAGTATAATTCTTCTAGGGGCATACTAACTTTAGGTATGACAATCGTTGTTACTATCACATCATCTCCAATATAAAACATTTTCAGTGTGTATAACACACCAAGTGGCAGAGCCAAGTGGTGTGCACACCCAATAAAAAACTGGCACAATACTAGCTTGTCAGACACACAAGTTAGCATTTTCAAAAAAAAAAAAAAAAATCCTGAAAAATTCACAACTGGCAACAATTCATTTGGAATGGACAATAATTTATGTGTGATGTACAACTCCTACCTTTGGTTCCTGGCATGTATAACACAGAAAAATCTTTCGTCCAATATATGACGTATGACGTGTAGTAAAAATTCTACTCTTAGGGTTGATACTATGTCACTTTTATATATTTCAGATCCCATTCCAGATAGGACAATCGAAAATGGATCTTCAAAAGGTGGTGAAATCCAGTTTATCGCGGGTAAGTCGATTGAACCTTCCAAATAAGCATTGTTTATTTCCAGAAATGCTTTAGTAACACAATATTTATTGAACAGGTTGACAAATCCATCAGTGCAAATGTATAAGAAATTGTAGAAGAACTTAACCTTGGAAGAACTCTTGCCTTCCCTATGGGATAAATGCAAGGTATTTTGGGTCTTCCTAGTAGCACGTTTGAAGTTCATTGGAATTCTAAAGTTCTGGCAATTTGGAAATTGAATGACTGTATCATCCTCTGATGAAGAACCTAATTGGAGAAAATCAAAAAGAAAACACAGAACAAGGATTTATTTTTCGGTGCAATAGCCCTATCCAAAAAATATCAGTACCTTAATGGACAATAGTTCTGATGTCATATTTCTTGACAATAAATCTGATGAGAAAGCCAGCTCTAATTATTTTAACTTTGTTTCCCAGGGGAGTATAGGCAGCTTTGAATTTGACTCATTTATTCTATTTGAATTCGACTTAATGGTTAACAATCTTTGCTATGCACTATTGATTGACACTAGGAGTTAAAGAATTTCTTGTTTGAATAATTGATAGAAGGAGTTTCTGGACAAGTACGATAACTTTGCACAACTTGTTGCCAAGATTTACCCTAACGAGACAATTCCATTGATAGCAGAAATGAGAGAGCTTTTGGCATCCATGTAGAGAGAGACAGTTGCGCTTGTAAATCTTCAGGAGTTCATTTCAGAGTTCACATTAGTTTTATTCTGCTGTAAGCACTTTTCCCATAATAGACCCATTTTAGATGCATCATAATGATTCTACTAAACCTCTACAGACAGGAGATAGACTATACGTATAAACTCATGCGAGAAAGAAAATGGGATGGATTTGCCCTTATCCTGTTCGATTTTTGTTATATCCGTTAAATATATATATATATATATATAATAAACTCTCGGGCTTAAAACGCGAAGGCCCCTATCAGTAGCGCCGCCTGCCTCTCTCTCTCCTCTTGCTCTAAGCTGAATCGCTGATAGCTGTCGCTGCACTCCTCTCCTCTCAACGGCGACTGTTCCTCTCCTCTCAACGCTCAACGCTCAACGCCGACTGCTCCTCTCCTCTCAACGCTCAACGCCGCTCCTCTGGGTATGGATTCTTCTTCCCTGTGATGAAAATAATGCTCAACTTTCCTGTGGGTATGCGTGTTCTTGCCGTGGATGATGACCCAACTTGTTTGAAGCTACTAGAGGGGTTTTTGCTTAGGAAATGCCAGTATCAGGGTTTGATTCCTCTCTGTTTTGCTTGTTTCTTCTCTATGTCAATTTTTATTTCATTTATCGAAATTGGTTATATTATATAATTGTTATCTGTTAATTTATTTGATATAATTTGCTTTTCTTTTGTTGAGTAATTGGAATTCTGCTGAATGATTGATAATTTGTTGTTGTGGATTGATCAATAGATTTAGGGTTTTCCGGATTTTGTTTAATTCTTTGGTTTTGGGTTTGAAAGCGCTTCTCAGATCAATTTTGTTGTGTTCTTTTTCTTCTAATTAAATATTGTACTTCGTTAGGGCCATTGCCTGGATGTATAGAAACTGTAACTAGCTAAACCGGCTCAATTAAGAATCTGAGTGAACCTTTTCTCTGCTTAGACTCATTGGGGGAAGACGAGTGGTAAATATTAGGCCGAGTAGAAGAGGGTGAAAACAGATTTCAAAAAACAAAGGTTGATGCATGCAGGGTTAGATGAATAGATCAAAAGGGTGGTGGTGAAGTTCTCATAGCACTAGTAAGATTACCATTACGGTCTTCTATTTTTTGTCTTTTTCTTGTAAATATTAATTTTCAGTTTATTAATACACACACACACACAGATATATATATATATATATATGCATGTATGTGTACTGTTTAAAAAGCTGTTTTGTTGTTGTAGTTGTCTCTCTCTCTCTACAAATGCATGTGTGTGTATGTAGTAGAATTTTTGTTTGTTAATTTGGGTGCCTATTTCATTAATTGGAATTGGTTTGTTGTTTTGGTACCATGTAGTTGTCAGTTTCTTGTCATGAGTTTGTACTCAATCAATCAGATTTTGGGTCTCAATTTTTGTGTCTTATGTAATTTGTTAGAGGTTTTACTGAATTAGTGTTCAGTTATCTTCCTCTCCCTCGCAAAGTAAGCATTTGTTTTCCCCCTCTACATGATCTGAATTCAGATTAAAGTTCCACTTTGTAGTTTTAAGGGTATACAAAATATTGTGAAACATGGTTTTGGTCAATCAAACATGATTAAGGGTATACAAAATCAAACATGGTTTTTGTCAATCAAACATGATTTGGATTTATTTAGAATTTTGGATTATGTTGGCTTGAACTTGGGTTTGGACTTGGGCTTGGGCTTGTACGGGAAAGCGGGGACGGGGACGGGATGGAGATTAGAAATTTACCCGTGGACAGGGATGGGGATGGGGATGGGGATGAAGATTTATACCTGTTAACGGGTGTGGACCGGGGATGAACGGAGTTTTTTAGGTAGGTATGGGGATGGAGACTACACCCCCCGCCCCCGCTTTGGTCCACTGACATCCCTAGTCACATTATAACACTTTTGATTCATTGTGGGTGTAATGTAAAAAATTTAATATTTGAGGGTGTAAAATGATAATCTTAAAAATTTTCAAGATATAAAGTACAATTCACCCTATATTCACAAATATTTTCCAATGTTAAATCTGAAACTATTATTGACACGTTTGGCAAATATTCAACTTCAGCAACTCGGATACCCTCTGGAAAATTTGCCAAAAAGATTGATAATAATTCACTATCTGGAGAAAGAATTATACTGGCTGCATAATTCAAACATTTTTTGGATATTTTATTAAATGAAAAAGGTCTTCTAGTACATGAGATTTTCACCACTACAGAATTTTAGAGACGGGAGTAATTGTATGTTATCTTATTTTTGCATGTAAAAAAATTATTTCAGCTACTCAAATTATTCACGTCAACCCCAAAGGGTAATTTAAGTGGTAATAGGCTCAGGACTCTTGAGTTTAAATTTTGACAACTTTTTGGGTCTAGGTATTGTGGAATTTATTCGTCATGAATGTCTTAGTCCTGACATGGATAACCTGTTTCTGATTGGACCGGAGAAGAGTTTAGTTGAAATGCGCGTAAGTTAGTTCAGACACCCCTAACCGTTGTTTAAGTTACACTAGAACAACTTGTTCGTTACGTCAAGCTTGGCTCCCGTATTATATCTCATATAACTCCAAAACAATATGGAAGGAAAAAAAATAGAACAATGTATATATGATAAACGAAGGGAGGAAAAAATACAAAAGAACAAACTACCTAAGATGGAAACAATGTCTAGCTAGTATTATGTACTTTTATCTATGCCTTGTTTGTTATTGCTCTGTTGTTACAAGTGTGATCTCTTTGCTTTGGCCTTTTGGGCAGTGTAGTCCACATCCAAGCTATTAAAAAATATTGATCTGACAAGGTTTTGCTTCTCTTGTGTGTTAGTAACATATGCAGCAGAGAACTTTGATATCCCTTAGCTACCTGTCTGCTGGTAGTATCACCAGTAGAAAGTCTGGAGAGAAGAAAGATACAAGCTGAGGAAATAAAGGCAGCTCCAGCAAAACAAGCAAGATCCAACCCAGTAACCAAAGGTATACTCTTGAATTTCTCCAACATCCCTACTTGAAGTATCATCATCATAGCTTGCCCAATGTTTGACTTGGCTTGCTTAACTGACTGGGTTCCTACCCATGATGGCAGTGTCTGAAAGAAAATTTAGAATATATTTAGAGATCTTCATATATGCCAAACTGATATTTATTTTATCTATTTGGAAAAGCAATCTGGTTGATGATATTTTTGTCGCTTGAGAGATCTTGGGAGATTTGATTTTACATTGTCTTGCCCCGGGAGTGGAGAGGTTGTTTGCTTAACTCAAATGTCAAATCCATGACTTGATGGTCACAATATGGATCTATTTTACTGATGCGCTAAAAACCCAAACTTTATACTAATTTAATGTAATTTGTGCATGAAAAGTTTAGGTATAAAAAAACAGCTTCACCTTGAGATAGAAAAGCCCAACAAGTTTGACCTGGAAGCTGAGACCCTTTTCCTTTCGATCCCACAAACATGACATGCAATGCCATCCCAAAAACAAGCATTGCAGTTCCTACCAGAAACACATTGCACAACAAATTCACCTATTTCATTTTAGCTATAATGTCAACTTGCAAAATGTGAATTGAGAGAGAGAGAGAGAGACAATACCTATGGATTCAATTAGTAGCTGTATCACATGTGATTGATCTGATCTTTCTGAAAGTGCATGGAAATACTGCAAATATGAATCTACAAACATAAAAGAACCCTGAAATAAAAATGTCATATATGTATGTTATACCTCTGTTGAACACAAAATCTCAAGTGCTAATTATAAGTTAATGTAAGAGAAATCATCAGAATGTTCATAGTTGAAGACTATGTTTACCTCTACAAAGCCCAAAACTGAACCAAGCAAGGATCCTGCAACTGCCAACATTGTAAAGAATCGGCAGTCAATTATAACCTGTACAAGCAAAAAGTCAGAGAGTTTAGAACTTTAGATGATCAGCTGTAAAATATTTTTTTTCTATATGGTTCTTGGGTTTTTCCTTTGACAACAAGAGTATTTTTTTTTTGGTTCAACCGTCATGAGAGTTTGGGCTAGCTTATGCACATTTCTATCAATCCCTTCTCTGGTTTTGTAAAAAATTGGTTATTTATGTTGGAACTAAGGTATTCATAAGAAATAAATTTCTCATAGTCCGACTCCAAAGAGAATGTTTTTAATCAATACAACTCAACTAAGACACAATATTGACAGATACTTTGAAATACCGGCCACAATTAGTGTTTAGGAGTTGAATATAATTGAAAGGAAAGATTTTGAAGTACCTTTTCAATGAACATCTGAACAAGTAACTTCCATGGCTTTCGTTTGGTAACCACCTTGAAGTTTTGCAGCACCAAAGCTTTAACATTTGCCAACAATAACGTCAGATCTACTACTCCACCCGTCCGAGGTTATCACCAACACCCTCTTGGAAACAGCCGCCGATGCCTTTACCGCCACCATCAGTTTCTTCTCTCCGTCCCCATTTCTCTCTCCATTGAAACCCACCTTGTTCAGACACATCAGTTTCATCGTTGTTGATGACATTGAGGGATTACTCAGATTTGAGAAAGATGAGGATGTACCAAGACCCACAGGTTTAGACATTCTTAGCAATCTAGGGTATAAAATTTTGAACTCTTTTCTGTTTTATTATATAGATTTTATGAAAGTGAATATCATTATTTCACCATTTTTTTTCAAACGGTATCAAGTGGCCAACACGAAATTGTTTGATGGAGATTAGGAAATGGTTTTCAACTGTAAATATGTATAATTTTTTGTGTTAATTGCATTAGAGTTCCCTAAAGTATAGAGTTTGTCTCATTTTAGTTCTCAATGTTTCAATTGTATCATTTTGGTTCTTGAAGTATTGAATATATTTTTATATGGTTTTTCAAGCAGATAACATCCGGATTGTTAACATTTTTTAACATAATTTGTCACGTAATATTTTTTAAGAAGAATTTTGTTAATCATATGAAATTGGATGTTGACTTGATTGTTGGGTGTTATGAAATATGGTTTTGGTGATTATTTTGATGAAATTTTGTTAATCATAAGCACACTCAACAAAAAAGTGATCCATAGTTTCCACATTTTGATAACACATGCATCATCTGCTCACCAAAGATACACCTATTCTCACAAAATTCAAATCCAAAGGCAAGGCATTACACAAAATTTTCCAACCAATTAATTGAGCACTAGGAGCAGTAATAGTCTTCCAAGTAAGCCCAGCCAGCTCATTCACCACCTCCTTGTTCCTACTCAAATGCCAAGCTGTTTTGAGAGCTAGTTTTCGAATATTATCCAGTCCGTGAGTTGCAAAATCAAAGAGGTTAGAGGGACCCCCGACATTGTGTCTGGGGAGACTCCTCCGATGCCTAAGTCAGTATTGCGATTAATATTTGAATGGGCTAGGGTATAAAGCTAGAAAAATGATAAAAGGTGTGTGTGTGGAGTATGGAGCCACGATGCTCATACTTGAGGCCCCCACCTTTAGTTCTTCACCCATCTTTATAGAGAAAATGGAGAGTTACTTATCATTGTGAGGTCATGCTCCTTGAGTTGATATATTCTTGAGATATGTGTCTTACATTGCAAGTATTAAAAACTGTGTTCGACACCAATTGGTCAATCAACAAGATTGTCAGCTTTGTATTATCTTTAGAAGATAAAACTTGGATCATATTATAATACACCCAGGTGATGTAGGGCCTTCCCCATTGATGCAAAATGTGGTCCATCAATTCTTTTCCTTTTGACTGAATATTAGGTCTTTACACCCTTAGTCTAAGCTCTTTTAGGTTAAAGAGAAATAGAATTACAGGATTAGAGCATTGAGAAACAGGAGCGATAAATATTTTCAGCGTCTGTGTAAAATTATACATGCATGCCATATGTTGCATCAACTTCCAATAAGTGATGTTGATCATTCCCTCTATAATAACTCCAACATAGGTATAGGTTTTTGGCAGAGTTCAACTTGGAAAACTTCATAGAACTCCTTGACCAAAGATTTGTGGGTGATATCAGTCAGAAGGTTATCATCGCCATGACGAATATCCGTTGTTCCGTGTCCATCAGATGATAAAGATTATCCCAGCAACCCTTTTATGCTTCCAACTCGACGATCCTGTATCCCACATGGGACTATCCATTGAAAGGGTGTTAGATCTGTTGTGACATTCAGTGCTAAGCTGTGATATGCTATCCACTGTGATACTCGTATCCCAACAGCTGCAAGTTTCTCATCTCCTGATGCAAGTGAATTTGTAAGGCTCCTAATGTTTTATCTCCACAATACAGAGGATCAACATAACATACTGTTATTATAAAAGGAGCTTAAACCAAAGGTGTAAATCAGGGTACCATTGAAATTCATGATTAGTTCTTAGTTGTAATTTGTTGAACCTAAAAAAAAGAGAAAAAGTATACGATAATGCCCTTCTAAATCAATCTTGTATTTAACAAATTCTAAGAAACTGGTAAATAAGGAGTGAACTAACTTTTCTGGGGTTCACATAGAATAGTGTACAGAGAGCTCTAACAGCAATCCATCTTTTGCAAAGCCAGTAAATTGGTGGGAATGTTGAAGTAAACACTTTAAAGCTAATGCAAACATACTAGACTTACCCGAAGTACATCATATAAACTACTAAAACCATCGGTGAAAGGATTGCAAAACATACCAACCCATACACCAGTTAAACCCTCTAACCGGGAAGCCTTGAACGAAAATGTTGAGGAATGAACACGAATGACCACCTCCTCTAGCGTCCTAAGGTACCAATGAAGATCCATCTTGTGACAACGGAGATTGATAATAGGGTACATAACTAGCTACATTGCAACAAAGATGCATAATATGCTAGGTACACAAAAGAACCAAAAAGGGTAGACCTTTCAATGCATTGTTGCACAAATGAAACTTCAAAGCTCAGCCATGACATTAGGTTTTGGGAAGAAGGGTGCAAGTAAAAACTTAAGACTATTAAGTCACATTGCGCTCTCTATCATATTCATAGAAGCATACTTATAGGAAGAAATAGGTTGTCCATGTGATTCAATACTTTTTTTCTCTGATTTTCTATGCATATCATAGTTCAATGGCATTGAATTCTTTGACACTAACAACATGGAAGTCAAGGATTTTAATCACAGAATTTCAAGCCCTTATTTTTATTTAACCAGGTTTAAACGTTTTTGGATTTTAGATGACAATAATGTGTGATGTGACAAAATCTTCTGTGGAACACACTAAATTTGGATTAGCATGCCGCGTTCAAATACAATTAACAACCAATTGCAAGAATGAGGTAATAGGAACAACTCTTAGAAATGTGCTAGGAAAGTAGATGACACTACCTGACCAGGCCCATGATATATAACTTCACCACCGCGTTAGGTTCGATAATATTTTCTGGCTACTTGTGCCTCAATAATATTTCTTCTTCTTTCTTTTATCTTTTCTATAATTAATCAAAGTTAACATGGTATCAGAGCATGTTTCGATCCCATGATTAGAGTAACCCAGCTCAAGAAAAACAAAATCAGAGGGTCAACGAAGGATGTCATTCTCATTGTCTGCAAATCTTGCTTGAATTCTCACTGTCCAGGATTTGAAGCCTTGGAGTTCTGGTTCATCACATCGTTGTTTGCTGCTCTAGGTCCCTGGGTCCATGTTCGCTTTTCACTGTTCTTTGTTGTGATGATGCGCCTCTATTCAAATAAATATCAGATTGATTTACTATTATTTGCTGCGTTTCTACTCCAATTGGTGGATGTTTCTTTGCTGCGTTTTTTTTTTGCTATTCTTTGTTTCGAAGTTGCTTCGAATCACCCCCAAGAGGTCTTTCTCGACTTGATTCTTCATCGATTGTTCTTGCTGATTTTCAGAGGTTTGGTTCTGTGCTTTCTCTTCCTCTATTGTGTCGTCTTCCCAATAAAAGATGAAAAAGACGAGATGCTAATTTTGTAGATAAGAACCAATTCTTTGGTTCTTATATTCTTTGGGCTCTTGCTGGTTGGGCTGTTACTTTGTTGGGCTAGTGTTGGTTTGACCTAATTCTTTGGGTCTAATTTGCTTTGGGCGCTTACTGATTTGGGTTGTTGTTGGTTTGGGCTAGTGTTGGTTTGGCTATTTTTCTTCTATTATGCTTGAATTTTGACTCTTGGGTTTTTGGGCTTCTTATTTGCTGGTATTGGAGACTATTGTTTTACCGAGGACTTGGGCTTTGGTTTATTGGACATTGTTGCTGGTTGTCTTGTTGTTTTGCTAGACTCTTTTGCTCTTTTGGGTCATTATTTGTTATTTGGGTGTTGATCTGTTGGGCTTGTTGATTTGTGTTGGATTTGGTTTAGGCTTGCTGATTTTGTATTGAATTTGGGCTGCCAACAAGTATTTTTGATACTTTTGTGTTGGACTTATTTTTTTGTGTTGGATTTGATAGGACTGTGATTTGAATAATTTTAGTTATTTTAATGGCATTTAATATAATATTGGGAAAATTACATCTATACCCCTTAAGGTTTGTCACTTAATCACTCAGACCCTCAGATATTTGAAATATTACACATAGATCCCTTGAGGCTTGTACACGAGTAACACTTAGACCCCTGTTGTAAATATATTAGTTAATAAATTATACTTAGACTCCCCTGAAGTTTGTAGGTATATAATACTTAGACCATTTAAGTTTGAAATATTGTACTTATACCAAAAATACTCCAATAAAAGATAGAATATCAAATATTTTAAATTTTACAACTATAATTGATGTTCTATTGTATCATTTATTAAAATAAAATTAAAAATAAATTTTTAATTTTTTAAAAAAAATCATAATTAGTATACAATTATACTATCTATTGGAATAAAACTAAAAAATCAAATAAAGGGTCTAAGTCATTCATAATAGAACATGAATTTTACATTCAAAATTCATGTTATATTATGTCATTATTGAAAAAAAATTAAAAATAAAAATCTAGTTTAAAAAAAAAATCATAGTTAGTATATAATTATACTATCTATTAGAATAAAACTAAAAAATTAAACAATAGATCAAACTGTAATAGACACAATATCTTTAGCTTTAATTGGGATAATTTGGTATTTTAAACGACCAAATTAAATTCTAATAGACAATATAATTGTATACTAATTTTTTTTTTTAAAAAAAAAAATTAAATTTTTATTTTTTGATTTTATTTGAATAAATGATACTATAGAACATGAATTTTGGTTGTAAAATTTAAAAAATTTGATATTTTATCTTTTATTAGAGTATTTTTGGTGTAAGTATAATATTTTAAACTTAAAGGGTTTAAGTATTATATATTTACAAACTTAAAGGGGTCTAAGTATAATTTGTTAATTGATATATTTACAATCAGGGTCTAATTGTTACACGCGTACATACTTAAGGGGATCTGTGTGTAATATTTTAAATGTCAGGGATTTGAGTGATTAAGTGACAAACTTCAGGAGGTCTAGTTGCAATTCTTCTTATAATATTTTTCAGTTTTTTAGAAGTGAGTTTGAATTATTTCATGTGTAATTGAAGGATTGAGGCGAGTGAAGGCTATTTTGTACATTTGTTTGCTCTTTGGTTATGTAAGGGGTGGTGCAGAGGGTTTATAGTCTTGATTGTTATGTTTGCCTAATATTTTATGAAATTGTGTTTATAGCCTTGACTTTTATTTTGCCTAATATTTTAGTTGATATGCATTTTAATTAATTTCTTTTTCACTACTATGGGCTAATTAATGAAATGTAATGAGTAATAGCTTTTAAAGGTAAGATGATAATTATTTAAACTGCGTATATGTTTAAATTTTTTGAGTTAAGGTTTTGGAGGTAATTTTGTACATTTTTTATATATTCATCAGCTTTAGATATTTATTGTTATCATTATGTGCATTATTTTTTTCTCTTGCTAATTCTCATTTTTTTAATTGAATATTTTTTGTCGTACAGTATCTTCAGCCACGGACAATAACTAATAAATAAACCCGATAATTAGCCAAAAACAAATCGGATCAACTGCACCCAAACTTGGATCCGGCAGTTGCATCTCTGGGATAGGGCGCACTTCTTCTTGCCCCCATGAGCCGATGCCACGAACTCGAACGATTCAAAGTTTAAGCGGTCCAAAAAAGATGGGAGAGAATTGAAAAACCAACATTTCTGCTAAAACCCTAAAAAAGTGGGGGTTAAAGAAAATGGTGTTTCAATTAGTTTCTTCTTGTCTTCACAATCACACTCCAACCATCAGATTATCCAAATCAAATTCATTCTGTCATCACACTGTAAGTAATTCTCATTTTGATACGTCCTTCTCTTTCTTTAATCGAATACATGTATATATTGTTTGTCTCTGATTTTCTGTTCACTTCCATTTTTTTTTAGGTTTCTCCTTTGTATTCGATAAGGAATAAGATATTTGGAAGCAAGGTTGGATTGAGAAAACAAACACTTCGGTTTCAGAATGAATTCAAATGTATGCTTTTGTTTCTTAGCCTGTGCTATCTTTGGTTTTTGGGTAAATTTTGTCCAAAAAATTGATTAAAAATTGAATTTATGGATGGTAGTCTACAAAAATCTCCACTTAGCTGAGTGTAATACAGATTCTCTTGTTTAGTTAAGGGCTTATCTTCGTTTTTGAAGGAAATATTTGGACACGAAACAACATGTTTATATCATTTGTTTTTGTATGTTTATGTTCAAAGTGGAGTTTTTTTATAATAATATATTTTGAAATTTCTTAGTCTAATGAGAATGTTTGTTCAGCAAAATTGGTGGCTGATATGAGGAGGAAATGCAAATTCTCTTTACTACCGAGCTTGATGAGAGGAGTAATTGTATGCGCTTCTGATTCTAATCCTGCGGAATCCGATTCTTATAGACAGGAAAGCACTAGTTTGTGGATTAATGGGGGCAATGGGGTGGAACCATTTCGTGGGAAATCGGGTTCCATTTCATTTGTTGGGGTGACTCATCAGTTGGTTGAAGAAAGTAAATTAGTGTCAGCTCCTTCCGCAGAAGGCATTGGCTCGTTTCTTTGGGCGTGGGCTCCTGTTGCCCTGATTTCATCGGTGGTCCTTCCGCAACTCTTTGTTGGTGCTGCAATTGATAGCTTCTTCGGTGATGAGATCCTCTCAGGTGTGTGGTCAATTAGTTTTCATTTAGGCCTGTCTGCAAATGGCAAAATGTAGAAATCAGTAATTTACTTTCTTCAACTAGGTAGAAATGGTTGAAATAATGGTTAAATTTAATAGATGCATCAGTGATGGTGAAAATGCTAGGGGAAGGAAAAATCAAAATTTACAAGAAATGAAATGGTGATAGTAATATGGCTACTTGAATTGAACACATAGCCACTGATAGCTTGGAATAACAGAGGATGATTCATGTGGTGGACACCTAGTAATTGGGACACAACTTTGTTTGATTTGATATATTCTCATTTCTCATCCTTTTGTGCAAATTATGTATTTGTTTGCCGAGTATGTCAATCACTTGCGGATATTATTTTTTATTTGCGTAACTTTGTGATAGTTTACTAAGATTGTCAATTCAACTTCTATCAAGTTCTAATAAATATTGAATTTTCTTTATCAACAAAAATATGACAGTTTGCTACATAAATAGGTTTCTAAGCTACAAATCCTGGTTCAGCGACTTGAGTGGAAAGTAGTTCGATCGGATCTCATTTTGAGCTAGATTGTTGGTTATGATATTCTAGCACACTAATGAACATGTAGTATGAATTCTTGAAGAACTTGGAGAAATAACTTATGATCTCGATTTGTAATTTTATATTTGTAGAAGTATAGGTGCACACATTTTGTGTGCATACGTGCGTGAATGCTTACTTTTGTTTTGGAGGCTAAGCATTACTTAGAAAGACTTTGGAGAAACCTTGCTTGCTTGTTTTGATTTTGTTCTGTGAGCATGAGTCGGGAACAAAATTTCTTAAATCCAACCAAATTAATGTGATTGAACAGTTAAAGTACATCATAGAGATGCTGATAAGTTAGTTCATGCCTTAGCTAGATTAAAGAGCTAAGGGTAGCTTTGAAGCCTTTGACAGTATGCAAAATTATAATTTTTTTACTTTCCTAAAGAGCCACTTAGGTGATTGACATTATTGAATTTCAGAGCCAGATAAAAATAATTTTTGGTCTACTTGATTAATTGTGTAGAAAGAAATTAACATAAGGGATTGTGCTGCTAATTACAGTCGTAGGCCATGTGTTGTACACATATGTAGAGAGAAGTGCATATCAATTTGTTAAATGTTGCGATGCTATCACATTCTTGTTTTTGTCATATCTATGTGTTGCATGGTTCAGAGCAAACATTCTGGACTGACATTTGTTAGTCTGTTAAACCCCTGCATATCGATTACAAGTCTTAGGCGCTTGCCTACTATGATCTACCTTGTAAAATAGATGGAATAACTTGCTTAGTCTCGTATTTGTAAGGACCTACTTTGTGAGTTATTATGAGTTTGTACGCATCTTCATTTGTTATCCTTATATCTTTTACTGAAATAAATGCATTATTCACTCTACCAAGTATAATTGTGCAGAAATTGTTGCCTCATTTGCTTCTGATATGTTCTTCTATATCGGACTTGCAACATTTCTGTTTGTTACCGACCGCGTTCAGAAGCCGTATCTTCAGTTTAGCCCAAAAAGATGGGGCCTCATCACAGGTCTCAAAGGATACTTGACATCTGCATTCTTCACAATGGGCTTTAAGGTTTTTGCGCCTCTCGTTGCTATTTTTGTCACTTGGCCAGTGCTTGGATTGCCCGCCTTAGTTTCAGTGGCTCCTCTCTTAGTTGGCTACTTGGCTCAATATGTATTTGAGAAACTTCTTGACAAGCAAGGGTCATCTTGTTGGCCTCTCGTGCCCATTATTTTTGAGGTATATGACTTCTGTATTTATTTGCTGCCTATTATTTTTGAGGTATATGACTTCTATATTTGTTTGCATCCTTCCCTTTGAAACAAAGAGAAGAATTTTCACAACTTGAATTATTTTGGCAGGTCTATAGACTATATCAGTTGAGCAAAGCTACTCATTTCATTGAGAAGTTAATGTTTGCAATGAGGGGCGCTACTCTATCACCAGAAGTGCTAGAAAGAAATGGTGCCTTGGTTGCAATGATAGTGACTTTTCAAATCCTTGGTGTGATTTGCCTTTGGTCATTGCTGACATTTCTTCAAAGGCTCTTTCCTTCTAGACCTGTAGGAGAGAAGTACTGATGCTTGTAGAGGATTCTGTGGAATACTTGTAAACGTTTTTACTTTGTGTTAGATCTATGCTTGTAGAGGATGCTTTTGAGTTCTTTTGTGGGCAAAAATTTGCATAATCACTAGAATGTTGAAGGTGTGCTCTTGGTCTTCGAATATTGTCCGATCTGTGAGCTGCAAAATTAGAGAGGTTGGAGGTACCTTGGACGTTGTGTCAGGGGAGACCCTTCCAATGTCTAAGTCAGTATTGTGATTAATATTTGAATAGACTAGTGTATAAAGCCAGAAAAATGATAAAAAGTGCGTGTGTGGAGTATGAAGTCAAGGTGCTCATAGTTGAGGCTCCCCTACCTTTAGGTCTTCATCCATCTTTATAGAGAAAATGAAGTTACTTATCATTGAGAGATCATGCTCCTTGAGTTGATATATTCTTGAGATATGTGTGTTACATTGCAAGTATCAAAAACTGTGTTTGTCCCTAATTGGTCAATCATCAAGATTTTGTATTATCTTGAGAAGTTAAATCTTGGATCATATTATAATACACCCATGTGATGTAGGGCCCTCTCCATTGATGCAAAAAATGGTCCATCAATTCTTATCCTTTTGATTGAATATTAGGTTTTTACACGCTAAGTCTAAGCCTTTTTAGGTTAAAGAGAAACAGAATTACAGGATTAGAACATTGAGAAACAATAGCAATTAATATTTTCGTCGTCTGTATGAAATTATACATGCATGCCATATGTTGCATCAACTTCCAATAAGTGACGCTAATCATTCTTTCTATAATAACTCCAACATAGGTATAGGTTCCTGGCAGAGTTCGACTTGGAAAACTTCACATAACTCCTTGACCAAAGATTTGTGGGTGATATCAATCAGAAGGTTATCATCGCCATGTCGAATATCTGTTGTTCCATGCTCATAAGATGATAAAGATTCTCCCAGTAACCCTTTTATGCTTCCAACTCGACAATCTTGTATCCCATATGGGACAATCCATTGAAAGGGTGTTAGATTTGTGGTGCCATTCAATGTCAAGTCGTGATATGCTATCCATTGTGATACTCGTATCCAAACAGTTGCAAGTTTCTCATCTCCTGATGCAAGTGAATTTGTAAGGCTCATAATGTTTTATCTCCACAAAACAGAGGATCAACGTAATATGCTACTATTATAAAAGAAGCTTAAACAAAGGTGTAAATCAATGTACCATTGAAAGTCATGATTAGTTCTCAGTTGTAATTTGCTAAACCTTAAAAAAAGAGAAAACAATATTGGATAATAACCTTCTACATCAATCTTGTATTTAACAAATTCCAAGAAATTGGTAAATAAGGAGTGCACTAGCTTTTCTGGGGTTCACATAGAATAGTGTACAAAGAGCCCTAACAACAATCTATCTTTTGCAAAGCCAGTAAATTGGTGGGGATGCTCCAGTAAACACTTTAAAGCTAATGCAAACATACTTTTATTCTCATTGTTTGCATGAGAGCAATTGATTTTAGGTTGATATATTTGTGGCATCATATTTTCAAAGGATACTTTGTAAAAAATTTGAAAGTTTTTTACCTTTTGACCTTTTTTTATTTCATTAAAGTCATGACATTAAAAATTTTTGCCCGCAAAAGAACTCAAAAGCATCCTCTACAAGCATAGATCTAACACAAAGTAAAAAAGTTAACAAGTATTCCACAGAATCCTCTACAAGCATCAGCACTTCTCTGCTACAGGTCTGGAAGGAAAGAGTCTCTGAAGAAATGTCAGCAATGACCTAAGGCAAATCACACCAAGGCATCATTTCTTTCTAGCACTTTTGGGGATAGAGTAGCACCCCTCATTGCAAACATTAACTTCTCAATGAAATGAGTAGCTTTGATCAACTGATATAGTCTATAGACCTGCCAAAATAATTCAAGTTGTGAAAATTCTTCTATTTGTTTCAAAGGGAAGGATGCAAACAAATATAGAAGTCATATACCTCAAAAATAATAGGCAGCAAACAAATACAGAAGTCATATACCTCAAAAATAATGGGCACGAGAGGCCAACAAGATGATTCTTGCTTGTCAAGAAGTTTCTCAAATACATATTGAGCCAAGTAGCCAACTAAGAGAGGAGCCACTGAAACTAAGGCGGGTAATCCAAGCACTAGCCAAGTGACAAAAATAGCAACGAGAGGCGCAAAAACCTTAAAGCCCACTGTGAAGAATGCAGATGTCAAGTATCCTTTGAGAACTGTGATGAGGCCCCATCTTTTTGGGCTAAACTGAAGATACGACTTCTGAACGCGATCGATAACAAACAGAAATGTTGCAAGTCCGATATAGAAGAACATATCATAAGCAAATAAGGCAACAATTTCTGCACAATTATACTTGGTAAAGTGAATAATGCATTTATTTTAGTAAAATATATAAGGATAACAGCTGAAGATGCGTACAAACGCATAATAACTCACAAAGTAGGTCCTTACAAATACGAGACTAGGCAAGTTATTCCATCTATTTTACAAGGTAGATCATAGTAGGCAAGCGCCTGAGACTTGTAATCGATATACAGGGGTTTAACATACCGGCAAATGTCAATCCAGAATGTTTGCTCTGGACCATGCAACACATAGATATGACAAAAACGAGAATGTGATAGCATCGTATTATTTAACCAATTGATATGCACTTCTCTCTACATATGTGTGTAACAGATGGCCTACGACTGTAATTAGCAGCACAATCCCTTATGTGAATTTCTTTCTACACAATTAATCTAGCAGACCAAAAATTATTTTTATCTGGCTCTAAAATTCAGTAATGTCAATCACCTAAGTGACTCTTTAGTAAAGTAAAAAGATTATAGTTTTGCATACTGTCAAAGGCTTCAAAGCTACTCTTGGCTCTTTAATCTAGCTAAGACATGAACTAACTTATCAGCATCTCTATGATGTACTTTAACTGTTCAATCACATTAATTTGGTTGGATTTAAGAAATTTTGTTCCTGACTCATGGGCACAAAACAAAATTAAAACAAGCAAGCAAGGTTTCTTCAAAGTCTTTCTAAGTAATGCTTAGCCTCCAAAACAAAAGTAAGCATTCACGCACGTATGCACACAAAATGTGTGCACCTATACTTCTGCAAATTTAAAATTACAGATCGAGATAATAAGTTATTTCTCTAAGTTCTTCAAGAATTCATATTGTATGTTCATTAGTGTGCTAGAATACCATAAACAGCAATCTAGCTCAAAATGAGATCTGATCGGAACTACTTTCCACTCAAGTCACTGAACCAAAATTTGTAGCTTAGAAACCTATTTATGTAGCAAATTGTCATATTTTTGTTGATAAGGAAAATTCAATATTTATTAGAACTTGATAGAAGTTGAATTGACTATCTTAGTAAACTATCACAAAGTTACGCAAATAAAAAATAATGTCTGCAAGTGATTGACATACTCGGCAAACAAAAATATAATTTGCACAAAAGGATGAGACATGAGAATATATCAAACCAAACAAAGTTGTATCCCAATTACTAGGTGTCCACCACATGAATCATCCTTTGCTATTCCAAGCTATCAGTGGCTATGTGTTCAATTAAACTTCAAGCAACCATATTTTTATCACCATTTCATTTCTTGTAAATTTTGATTTTCCCTTCCCCTAGTATTTTCACCATCACTAATGCACCTATTAAATTTAACCAATATTTCAACCATTTCTATCTAGTTGAAGAAAGTAAATTATTGATTTCTACATTTTGCCCTTTGCAGACAGGCCTAAATGAAAACTAATTGACCACACACCTAAGAGGATCTCATCACCGAAGAAGCTATCAATTGCAGCACCAACAAAGAGTTGCGGAAGGACCACCGATGAAATCAGGTCAACAGGAGCCCACGCCCAGAGAAACGAGCCAGTGTCTTCTGCGGAAGGAGCTGGCACTAATTTACTTTCTTCAACCAACTGATGAGTCACCCCAACAAATGAAATGGAACCCGATTTCCCACGAAATGGTTCCACCCCATTGCCCCCATTAATTCGCAAACTAGTGCTTTCCTATCTATAAGAATCGGATTCCGCAAGATTAGCATCAAAAGCGCATACAATTACTCCTCTCATCAAGCTCAGTAGTAAAGAGAACTTGCATTTCCTCCTCATATCAACCACCAATTTTGCTGAACAAACATCCTTGTTAGACCAAGAAATTTCAAAATATATTGTTATAAAAAAAAACTCCACTTTGAACATAAACATACAAAAACAAATGATATAAACATTCTGTTTCATGTCCAAATATTTCTTTCAAAAACAAAGATAAGCCCTTAACTAAGCAATAGAATCTATATTACACTCAGCTAAGTGGAGATTTTTGTAGACTACCATCCATAAATTCAATTTCTAATCAATTTTTTGGACAAAATTTACCCAAAAACCAAAGATAGCACAGGCTAAGAAACAAAAGCATACATTTGAATTCATTCTGAAACCGAAGTGTTTGTTTTCTCAATCCAACCTCGCTTCCAAATATCTTATTCCTTATCGAATACAAAGGAGAAACCTAAAAAAAACGGAAGTGAACAGAAAATCAGAGACAAATAGTATATACATGTATTCGATTAAAGAAAAAGAAGGACGTATCGAAATGAGAATTACTTACAATGTGATGAGAGAAGGAATTTGATTTGGATAATCTGATGGTTGGAGTGTGATTGTGAAGACAAGAGAAACTAACTGAAACCCCATTTTCTTTAACCCCCACTTTTTTAGGGTTTTAGCATAAGTGTTGATTTTTCAATTCTCTCTCATCTTTTTGGACCGCTTAAGCCTTGAATCATTCGAGTTTGTGGCATCGGCTCATGGGGGCAAGGAGAAGTGCGTCCCATCCCAAAGATGCAACTGTCGGATCCAAGTTTGGGTGCAATTGACCCGATTTGTTTTTGGCTAATTATCGGGTTTATTTATTAGTTATTGTCTGTGGCTGAAGACACTGTTCGAAAAAAAAAATGAATTAAAAAAAAATGAGAATTAGCAAGAGAATAAAACGGTGCACATAATAATAACAATAAATATCTAAAGCTTATGAATATATAAAAAATGTACAAAATTACCTCCAAAAAATAACTCAAAAAATTTAAACATATACGCATTTTACATATTTTATCATCTTACCTTTAAAAGCTATTACTCATTACATTTCATTAATTTGCCCATAGTAGTAAAAAAGAAATTAATTAAAAAGCATATCAACTAAAATATTAGGCAAAATAAAAGTCAAGGCTATAAACACAATTTCATAAAATATTAGGCAAACATAACAATTAAGGCTATAAACCCTCTACACCCCCCCCCCCCCCCCTTACTAACCAAAGAGCAAACAAATGTACCAAATAGCCTTC